GAGGAGCCGACCCCGCTCGGCAATGCCCTCCACGTCAGAGGTGTATTCTCAGATGGCCCGGCCAGGCTGGCTGGTGTGGGCTAGCCTTCTGCCAGGTGAGCCTGGACTCAGCCACCTGGATCACCCCTGTGCAGCTGGAGGACACCGGGGGCACACTGCCAACCACCCTCCGCCCTTGGACGGGTGCCTTGGGGTTGTCATCCACTTGTCCCACAGGGGCAGCTGGGGTCCTCGCCAGACACCAAAATGAAGCCCCATCCTCACGTAGCCCCGGAAGGTGTAGCGGACACCCCTCCTTCCTTCCAAAGCCACAGAAATGAGTCCCCTGACCCGAGAGTGGAGCCCTACCCTGAGCCCCTAGAGTGACCCCCACAGAGGAGGGGGCGAGCGGCTGGGCGGGACTCTCCCCCGTGGGGGGGCCTGTGTCCAGTGAGGGGGGGCTCGGGCTGCAGCAGGGAGCTGCTGTTTGTCAAGTCACGCAGCATGGGGTGGAGACACCCCAGGACCCAGGGACACCCAGAACACATGGGTGTTCTCCCATCACCAGCAGACACCGGTGCTCCTCGGCTCACCCCTGGAGCCGAGCTCCTCGCCTCGGGAGCAGTGGACAGCCAGGACCAGAGGAGCCGGTGGGTGGCAGTTGGGTAGACTCAGCCCTGTCAGCTAGAGCAGCCCAACGCTTATGGCCCTGCCTGTCGGGGCTTGTCTGCTGTGTCTGCAAATGGGAGGTGACTTAAGGTCTCCTCTGGGACTTGGGAATCCATCTCCCCACCTTTCAGTGGCGATCAGGGCCAGGGCTGTCATGGGACCCGAGGGGAACCGCACACAGCGGCCAGCAGGTGTCAGTACAGAGGCTGACTCTGAGCCTTTACTTAGTTCCAGTGCGGGGGGGAGGGGTTTCCCCAGCAGGAGGCCCGCCAGCCTCTGGGGTGGGCTCCAGGGGTGGGGACTTGCACCTGTCCAGGCAGCCCGTTCTATTTGGGGCAACTCTGACACATCTCTGTGGGCACATTTTCGTTCGAGGTGAAGCAAGGTCCTGTCTGGAACTTTACAGACAGGGAGCAAATGAACAGGCAGAAGCTGACGGCCGGGGCCAGAGCTCTGTCTGCCTCTGGATGGTAAAACGTGACACAGGCCCTTGCACACAACGTGCACCTGTGGGAAGAGGCAGACTCCAGGGAGGGTCCCAGTGGGCATGCGTCAAAAGCATGCTGCACTGCTGACTGACAGGGAGCCCTCAGCACCCCTGCTGCATTCTACCTGCATGCCATCAGCCCATCCTTCTCCCTGCCACCACAGGGCCAGGCCACTGTTAAGTGCTCAGGAGATATATGTGATAGGGACAGTAGGGTCTGCTGTGGCTTGAGCGACCCCTGCAAAACCCACGGTGAAACTTCTTGCCACAAGTTGACAGTATTGAGAGGTGGAACCCGAGCCTAGCATGGGTGGCTCATGCCTGTAATCTAGCTACTCAGGAGGCTGAGATCTGAGGATCACAATTTGAAGCCAGTTCAGGCAGGCAAATCTGTAAGACTCTCATTAACTTCTAAAAGGCTAAAAGTGGGGCTATGGCTCGAGTGAAAAAGCTAAGGGACAGGGGCTGGGAAGGTGGCTCAGCGGTAGAGTGCTTGCCTTGCATGCATGAGGCCCTGGGTTCAATTCCTCAGCACCACATAAACAGATAAGGCCAGAAGTGGCGCTGTGGCTCAAGTGGTAGAACGCTAGCCTTGAGCTGAAGAGCTGAGGGACAGCACCTAGGTCCTGAGTTCAAGCCCCATGACTGATCCAAAAAAGAAAAAAAAGCTAAGGAACAGCACTCAGGTCCTGAGTTCAAGCTCTACTGAGCGTGTGCGCGCACGCGCGCGCACACACACACACACACACAGACTTGAGGTTCTGACCTCAAGGGTGTGGTGGTACGTCCCAGTGGCTCGGCCATTTGCCAACTGGGCCTCAGTTTCCCTGTGTGGGTCCCTCTTTCACTCTCTTCCCCACAGGGGTGCGCCATGCACGGCCCCGCGGCTCCCAGGGCTTTAGAAACTTCCAGTCCCCACTCGAGTCTGTCCCATGCGGTGACACCCTTGTTCTTGGGGGTGCTGGAAAAGAGCAGCAGTAAGGACAGATTTGGGGGTGCACCCTGCCCCTGAGGCTCGCCCCAGCATCATGGGCCGTGTTCCCAGCCGTGGCGCAGCAGCGGGGCTCAGGCCTGGGAGGGCTGGGGGAAGGGGAATCCCACAGAGCCTCGTAGCCAAGGTTCATGTTGGGGCAGAGAACATTCCAGGGAGGTGGCCAGCCCAGGCCCCGCAGCCCCTGGTGCGGCATCGCCTTTCTTCTTGGCAGGCGGCCCGGCTGGAGTGCCCCGCTGTGCCCAGCATTCCCACCCTGCCGGCAGACACCACCACAATGCAGCCTTCCGAGCTGTCACCTGTTTCGGCCCCAGGAGACCCTCAGGTGGGGACATGGGGTCAAACGGGCCACCCTGCGGCGCCCAGGGTCGGAGACCCCAGAGCCAGGCCTTGTGTGAGTCCAGCTCTGAGGGAGCTGAGCTCGGGGCGCTGTGTGTGCGGGGGGCGAGGCCGGGAGTGAGGGGCTGCGTGGCCCACGAGCCCCGGCTCCCACGCGAGGCGGGTCCCCCCGGGGCGTGCTCAGGGTGCGGCGGCCAGGCGGAGGAGGGGCCGAGGGCACAGGTGACAGCACTGCACCGGGCAGATGCCTCGCGAGGCTCCTCCCGCCCCTCGCTGGTGCAGGGCGGAGCGCCAGAAGAGCCGCGGGCCTACAGCGCACGCTTGGATGTTAGTTGAGCGACTCATGGAATGTTCCAGCAAGGCTGGTGGGATGGGAGGCTCAGCTGACCCTTCCCCCGGCCCCATCTAACCACTCCACGGCGCCTCGCCTGGGCCCCCCAGCTCTCAGGGCTGGAAGCTGCCTCCACAGGTCCTCCCTGGTGGGCCAAGCTCCAGGCCTCATGGTCTCATGCTGAAGCCACCTCCCCAGCTCTCTCTGGGGCCCCGTGGCTAGCTAGACACCAACAACCTGCAGCCTCCCCCAGCGGCCCCAAAGGTGTCTCCGTGGGGGGCAAAGCCCCACCCCCCACTGCTAGTCCAGACTTGAAAACCTTGCCCTACTTGTCCCGGACCTTGGTTAGGGACCAAGTACAACCACGAGATCAGGTACCAGGAAGTGCCACTGTCGTAACTCCATAGTAATTCACCATACCAGCCAATCAGAGGGCAGGAATGCTCACCTCACCAGCCAATCAGAAGGCAGAAACACTCAGCTGCTGAGGGGGCACTCACAGCTCCATTCTGAGGAGGCCAGGATGGGCGGGCAGGGGGAGGCTCTGTCCTGGGCCCCACTAAACCTCCCGCACCCACAGGCCCCACTGACCACGGCACCTCTGTGACCTGAGGCCATCCCAGCCTCCCAGGGTCCTTGGAGCTCCAAACGAGGCCCAAGTCCAGGTAGCCTGGCCTTCCAGGTACAGACAAGGCCGAGACCTCCCCGGCAAGGCTGTTAGCTGGGAACAGCAGGATCCCCCTACAGAATGGCTAAGTGGTGACCGGGACATGAGCGACACAGGGACTGGTCCCACCTTGGTAAGAGTGACCTCTCTGGTGTCACCATCAAGGTGAACCATTGAACCTGCAACCCATGATCCAGCAATGCTACGGGCACGCCTGCCCCCAAGACCACGGCCTGGCTGGGACCCTCCCAAATGTCCCCTCCAAGGGATGAGGAGAGGTACAACCAGGCCAGGAAGAACACCGGAAGGGCCAGGCACCAGTGGCTCATGCCTGTCTGCAATCAGGAGGCGGCAATATAGAGGACCGTGGCTCGAAGTCAGCCCAAGCAGAAAAGTCCATGAGACCCCCATCTCCAAAATAACTGGCAAAAAGCTAGGCTGGAGGTGTGGTACAAGCGGTAGAATATCAGCCAGAACAAGCAGACCTGGGTTCAAACCCTCATATCAGAAAAAAGAAAGAAAAGAAAAAGAGCAGCAGCAGGAGGGTGAGCTGCTGCAGATGATGCTGGCCACGCAGATCGCGGCGCAGCCCAGCAGTGACCGGTCCTGAGGAGGAGCTCCGATCACACCAGGGGCTCACGGGGCTGGCCGCGGGCTGCCAGTGTCCTGCTTCCCAACTGGGAGCATCTGTCTCGTTAGTCATTAAGCTATATGTTCAGACTTTACTGACATCATAATTTTAACGGCTAATCGTATGCTATACAATTCTGCCACAATAACGAGAACATGGCAGAAAGCAGACTAGTGCTGGGGGAAGGGAGAACTTCAGTATTGATGACGGCAGGGTTTCTTTTGGTGACAGTGTTACAAGATGGATTGTGAAAAGGCTATGTTTCTAAACAAACACTCACACACACACACACACACACACTCCACTGAATTCACACCTGTAATCCTAGCTACTCAGGAGGCTGAGATCTGAAGATCATGGTCTGATGCTGGTCTAGGCAGGAATAAGGATAAGACTTTATCTCCAATTAGCTACCAACAAAACCAGAAGTGGAGGTGTGGCTCAGGTGGTACAGTATCAATCTTGAACAGAAAAGCAAAGCCTGAGTTCAAGCTCCAGTACAAGCAATAGAAAAACAGGGACAGAGGCAAGGCCTGGCCATGCTGGCGACTGCTCCTACCCCACAGGGGGCGGGGAGCTCTCCCGCAGGGCCACGCGCCCCTTCTTGTTCTTGCACAGGAAAAGGAGGCCTGGCCCTGACATAAGGCTGGACTGGCAGATCTGCTGTGACATACCTGACCATGGGGTCAGCGCTGCCAGTAGAGAAAAGCAGCGGCCAGGTGCCCACTGGGAGGCAGCCTCGCTCCGGCGCAGGCCCTCCGAACCTGACAGGGTGGGGGGTCACGGGGTCCCCACCAGCCAGTGTGGGGGAGCAGCTACCCGGCCTTCGGTACCATGTCTGACAGCATGCCCAGAGTACCACGTGTGTCAGGAGCAGAGCAGGTGGGAAGAACACCAGGCCCTTACCTGGGCTATCAAACCACGGTATGCATTTCTCTCATCTGCATTTCTCTGTCCACAGCTCCAAGGCCACCTGTGGGCAGGGTGATGTATCATGACACCTGTCCCAGCCATTGCTCTCCCCATTTGAAGAGGGGGCCTCCAATGTAGCCAGGCACCCACTGGCTTGGCCAGCCACACATCACAGGGAGCTCTATATGGAACTTCCCCAAACCAACCCCGCCCCCAGCACCGCCAGGCTCGGCACACTGCCCCTCTGGCGGCCAGCCTGCCAGTGCCAGGCCCCTCTGTGCGTCGAGGGTGCCATCTGCAGGGAGAAGGGGGAAGTGCAAGGGCAGCACTATACCAGCCACAGGGGCCAGCGGTTTTCAAATAGCTCCATTCACAGACAAGTACCATCAACAGGCAAATCAACATAAAACACCGATGTTTTCACCCAGCAGCCACTATAGACAGTCACTACTGAGCTAGGAGACAATCTGGTTCTTGCTCGGTCTGCCACTCATCCCTCCATCATGTTCCAGCTGTATTTCAAGCTCCGGGGCCACCTGCAGCTCGTGGCTCCCGGGTTCTGCCCAGTGCTCCCACCCTTCGACCCCCGGGCATGGCTCTGTCCTGATCTTTCCGTCCCTCTGTCTGTAGGTTGATGAAGGAGGTAGATCTCTACATATACATGAAAAAAATCAAGAGGGGCCAGGCCCCACCCTCTCAAACCAAGGCGAGAGGTGACAGTTCCTAGGAGCCAGACAGGCAGCCCTGGTCATCAGCTGAGGGCTGGTTGAGTGCCAGGCACATGCAGCATGCCATTGATCATGCCATAAAACAGTGTGCAAGAAAAAGGAACACACACACACACACACACACACGCACGCAAGCACAGACACACACACTCACACACGCACACCAAGTGGGTTTATGTATACCTGGAAGGATCTGGCAAACTGTGGATGGCTATGTCTCCAGGGGTAAACCACCTGTGGATATTTAAACCTTTGATTCACTAGTGTGTGCGGTGCTGGGGCTCGAGCCCAGCGCTGTGCGCGGCAGGCTGGTGCTCTGCCACTAGGCTGTGCCCTTGCTCCGTGTACACTTTTAAATGGCAGGCAGGTACCTGGAACTTGGTGGTGGGGAGTGCGCACAGCCCCCCCTTTGCCCCCCCCCCCCGCTCCTTTGTGGGCCTCCCTCCAGTGAAGGGACCTTCTGCAGGGCCTGGGCAGCCCCTGGCTCCAGCCTGCAATGAGGCAGACGCACTCTGCACAGGGCTGTCTGGCTTGGTTGGGCCAGAAAGACCCCAACTGAGGGCAGTTAATCAAGAAAGACAGCGTGGTTTCTCCCAACAATCCCGAAGCCGCCTGTGTCCCAAGCGGTATTCCTCAGCTTCACCTTAAAAAAAACTTTTTTTTTTTTTTTTTTGTCGGTCATGGGGCCTGAACTCTGGGCCTGGGCGCTGTCCCTCAGCTCTTCAGCTCAGGGCTAGCGCTCTACCACTTGAGCCACAGTGCCATGTCTGGTTTTCTGAGTGGTTTATTGGAGATAGGCCAGACACAAAAGCTCCTGGTGCGTTGGAGGCCCGGCCTCCAGAAGAGCACGGGAGGCATCACCTCCACCTCCTGTACAACACCCGTGCGGGGTTTCTGTCTGAGCGGCAGGTGGACCCCGCCAGGCCCGGCTGGGCCGGGAGGCTGGGCATGGGGTTGCCTCTCTCCCTCATGCCCTTGGCCACACCTGAGCACTGGAACCCGGGACTCCTTGAGGGAAGAGAGAAGGTGTGTGTTCCAGGTACAGTGGAGTTTGGGGGGGGGGGGGGCTTCTCCCCTGGGAGGATCAGGAAGGAGCTGGGCGGAGACTTCCAGAAGCACAGCGCTCCTCCCCGCCTGGTGTTCGCACGTGCTCCTCACCCAGGAGACACCTCACAGCTGGTGCCTGGGTCCCCGTGTCTTACCCACATCTCTCCAGCATCGCCAGCACTGCCCCTTCCCTGAATGGCCACACTCTGGTGTCTACGGCACTGTCAAGGACGGTGACCCAGGCCTGGTCACCACAGGGCATCTCCACGTGCTCCCGGTGCCAGCGCCCAGCTGCCGGCGGCCAGCTCAGACCCAGGAGGACCCAGCACGAGAAAGCATGCTTTTCCTGAGGGCCCATCACAGAACGGGGCTGACAGTCACCTGCCATTTCTAAGTTCTCCGCTCCTCACAGACGAGGAGCGAAAGGACAAAGAGCGAGGAGCTGAGGCCACCCACTGCACCTCTGCCTCAGCGAAGGCTCCGACACCGCCTGAGGGAGGGGACAGACGCAGCCCGCCCACAAGGCGGGGGGGGGGGGCAGCACCTCGAACAGAGCCTTTATTTCTGCACCTCATACCTACCAGGATCTGTTTCCACAGCCAGAGCCTGCTCAGAAGGTTCCCTGGCAAGCTAGCGGCTGGTGGCTCAGGCCTGTAATCCCAGCTACTCAGAAGGCTCGGATCTGAGGACGAAGCTCAAAACCAGCCAGGCAGACAAATCTGAGAGTCTTTATCTCCAGTTAAATAGTGAGTTTTTGTTTTGTTTTGTTTCCAGTCCAGGCTTGAACTCAGGCCCTGGGCACTGACCCTGAACTTTCTGCTCAAGGCTAGTACTCTACCACTTGAGCCACAGCAGCACTTCCAGCTCTTTCTGGGTATGTGGTACTCAGGAATCGAACCTAGGGCTTCACGCATGCTAGGCCAGCCCTGTACCATGAAGCCACATTCCCAGCCCCCCAAAAAGTATTTT